CCCACCCTGTAGTATCCTGTTTGTGCCAGTTGATGAGCTTCCTGGGCTTTGGGACTGTTTGCTGTCCCTCGGCTCCTCATGTGTGCTCCTATTCCTTGGCATCCATGCTGCCTGGTTGGGACTGGCTTCTGCTGTCTGGCCTCTGTTGGCTCTCGGCGGGGTGCCCTGGGGATCAGTGGAGACCTTCCTGCATGTTTCTTGCTCAGGATGCTGGTCTCCACAACACTTTGGTCTTCTCTCGGTTTGGACATTTGGGGTTTCTGTGCTCATGTGGTTCTCATCACCCACCCTGTGTGATGAGAACCACATGAGCCATCACCCCCTGTGGGTGTCCTCACAACATAAAAGACCACACTGCCTGTCATTGTTATTGCTTATTATTGCTTGAGTGTTTTGTTTCTGGGTTTCTCTGTGGTGCTTTTTGCTGTCTTTGAAGGGAATTGGGATATCACTGATAGCATACTGGGGAAGGTCAAATTCACATGTTTACAAAGGCGGGAGAGGACGTTAGTGAATCCTGTGACATATTGTGAAGATTACTGAAATGTTGCCAAAAGTGGCTAAAGGTAGGTAACTAAAGCTAAAGCCAGACAAGCAAATATTAGAGTGTTTTACTGTTTTATTTCTTTTGGCCAGATGGTGTACTACTCACCAAAATGCGCGGCGTTTCATGTATATATAATCCCGGTGTCTCTGACCTTGCATTGCCATTTTGGATGAGAAAGAACGACATCATTAGTGAAACACGTATTCACAAAAATAAAGCTAAAACTTTAAATAAAATTTTGATTTACTCTACATTCTTAAATAAAATAAGTAAATCGTCCTGTCCTTTTATCTGGTAGATCTGCACTGTGAATATTTTTTAAGTCTTTTACCTGTGACGTTTAATACAGTAGATAACTCCCAAAAAAAATGGAGTTACAATGAAGACTGTGGCTGCACCAACTGAGGAGAGTAAAATTACAATTCTCTTTAAGCTGCCGCCACCATTCTGGACGTCGTCTGCAAAGAAAAACCTTAACATTATCTCAGCTAGTTTATTACAGCTGATGTTTCTGTCTGCAGAAACTATGCTACAAACA